TGCAGATAGCTCATTGTGTAGCTTTGTGCTTAATAACAAACCAACCAATATATTATCCTTTTCTTAACTTTGATGCATCAACCTTATCTTATACAGGAAATGTATATTTGGTGGTTTTAATTCTAGTTCTTTTTTATACAGTTACTTTGATTTTTGACTCCAGATTTTTTTTTAAATTATGCACAAAGCTAAACAGGGGCTATCTGTGCTCTGCCCACCACGGGTATCGAAACCCGGTTTCTAGCGTTGTAAGTCCACAGACGTACCGCTGTGCCACTGGGGCATTTTGATTCCAGAAAGATTAGATAATGTCAAAAGCAACCATTTCGTACGTATAAATCCATAAGAGAGTGCTAACCGCTCAGCTTGGGAAAATATAATAAAGGCATTGAATTTATTAAACCTACCTATAGTTGAACAAAGTTTAACTTTCGGTTTTAATAAAAATATAACAATTACCTCATGTTTGTCCAATCCAGCTTGTTCGACCAATTCGAAAATAAACATACATTATGAAAGAAAAATATTTGTTTTTGAAACTTGGAATATTTAATTACATTAGCGGCCTGATATAGTTCTATATGCGTTATTTATCAAAAAAAGTTCATATGTCAAATAAAATAAAATAAACAGACGTTTTTTCACAAGTTGTTTGAAGGTTTATTTGGTGCAAGTTTCCTCTAAAATGAAGGGATAAAATATCGTTATTTTTATCGTTCACTAAGTATGTTTGAATTATCTTTTGAACAATTCGTTATTATATTGAATGAATGAAGTAAGAACAATGTTAAGTGGATGTCTGTTATATGTTGTGATGGCAATGACCTCTTCAATTTTTCTTCTCATCATGTTAACATTTTTGTTCATGAGTTTTCTTACGTTGACAATGAGAATGCGGTTGTTTTCTTTAGCTTTTAAACCACCACTGATTTACCTGTATTCTATATAATTTCTGATATCTCTTGGTGTTCAGCCAAACGGATACGAACGGGTCGCTTGGTTTTTCCAATATGAAGTTTTGACATTTAATATCATAAACCACATATTTTTTTGATTGACATGAGGCTGTCTTGACCCGGGTAAAAATGTTTTTAATGGATGAAGAGATTTGAAAAAAGTGTACATATATTTTGAATTAGACATCTTGGTTTTCCCCCAATATGCCCCCCAGTAGCACAGCGGTATGTCTGCGGACTTACAACGCTAGAATCCTGGTTTCGATACCCGTGGTGGGCAGAGCACAGATAGCCCCTTGTGTAGCTTTGTGCTTAATTACAAACAAACTTAATTCCTCCAATATTTAGTCAATACAGTAAGGTAATAATTTTATCTATGACTGTAAGTTTGGAAGGTGGAGAAATATGAAAAAACTGTGTCCTTGATTAATTTCCTAATTAATTATTCTGTATGATTATTTCTTGAAGAAACTTTATTTCTGTTGCTATGTTTTCTTTTGAAGAGATGCTAACATGTTGATTACAGTGTTGGTCAGTGTTTTAATAATGCCTTTTAATTTAATATTGCGCTTGCATGTATACAATTTTTGTAGACTGACATTGTGAATCCTCATTGAGATTTATTTCTTATTACTTTCATACCCAGGAATGTCTTATTGGACATTAGCTTATAAAAGCAGAGACACTATTTATTCACGTATTTTGCTTGTGTTAAGATGAATCATTTTACCCTTCTAGCTAAAGAGCTTTAATGTTTTGGTAGAATCAAAGCATGGTTTATATTGAACCAAATGGTAAATAATTATTACACCATTTTTATTTTTTGTTTTGCTAGACGTATTAGAAAATAATTATGGCCTTAATGTTACTTATATATAAAAAAGACATTTTAATCAATAAACAGTGTGAAAAATCAAAATTATTTTGTTTTTGAAGTTCTGAAGGACAAAAAATTTGGATTGTAAATTATAAAGATGCTTCACATCTTTTCTTCATTTTAGATGTAAAATATTCTCTATGATATTGAGGTTTTATTCTTTGTGGCTTTATAATGAACTCAACTCACGCGACTCGGGGTATGTATAAGATATTAAAATTTCTCTAGCTGTCAAAAGTGGAACTAAAGCAGATGTAAACGAACAAACATAGTTACAGATAGACTAGATTGGATGTTTCTAGTACGTTATCAGGAATACAAACCTATAATGATGAAGAAGAACAAATCTCCAAATTTGCTAAAAATCCAATTACTATAATTCATACAAATCTTCTAATTATCCTCTTTAAGCTATAACTTAATATAATATTGGAATTAAATTTTCTCTTAATTTTTCTTTTTAATCACCAAAGTTGATATCTTTTGGTTTATTTCAAATTAAATAAACTGTTCATCCAGGCCTCATAACTATCGTCTTTAATGGGCTTTTCATGTATATTTCATTTAAAAAAAGGCTTCTTAAATATGATTTTTTAAAGTTCACTTTAATAAATATCAAGCAAAACGACTTTTTTTATACAGCTCTTCTCATTATCACCTTTCAACTTATATTTAGTATGTTTCAGGTAGAAATCAATCTGTTCTCTTCATTATTATTATAAACAATTTTAATATTCAAGAATAGGGCTTTTTTATATAACTTTAACGTTCAGTTATAGTTGTTATTGTATAGAAAATTTCAGAAATATCTTCTTTATAAAGTATTTCTTTTTAACTTATTTTTTAAATTTTTCTTTTCTGATATTCCAGAGCTTGATTTCTCTAGCATATGTTAAAGTAACATATGTCACAAAATAGGACGTTGTTTATAATTATAATGATTTAGCTCCTAGAACTCACTGATGATACAAATATGCTGGTACCCTTATTGTCATCAATACACAATATATTGTATAACGATGCATATGTATCACATGTTACTATTTTCTGAAACAAACATGACATAATTTGTTTGTAACCTTCTTTAATTATTGGATAAGCGAGACTTTAATTAAAATAAGTTAAAAATATACATATTTAAAGTGTTAACGGGTTTCTTATTATTTTATTTATTTGTCGATTTGTATTAAACTGTTTTGCATAAATGTAATGACAATCAATTTTACAAATTCCCTTAACTATGCAGTTTAACGAAGCAATACTGAATAAAACAGTTCAAAGCCATCGAACTGTTTTTCCAAGAACAGAAGCTCTTATTCCAATAGTAAAACATATATTGTTTGTTTTTCAGTACTGATATCATAACAACTAAAACTATTTTTGAAGTCAATGCCACAGAAACGTTGTACGATAAAAAAAAAATAGGTACTATGAAGAAACTACTAATTTGCTTTAAACAATTTTACAATCAATTGGGCTTGTCTAACCAATAAGATCCATTGATTTTTTAAAACTTATGTTGTTAATGTATCAAGTGATATTCATAAAATGTCACTTGTTGCACGAACACAGACAATAGCTTTACTTCTCTACTCAAGATGTGTAAAAAGACGAATCTTTGATATAAACTAGAAACGTATTCATGGAACTTATTCAAATTAAGTGGCTAATCAATTTAATTTACGAATTTGTCAAAAATATTACACTTGTTGCTTAGAAAAGCAGTTGAAGCAATCAAATACGCATACAAAATGAAGAATAACCATGCAAAGCTACTTTAAGTGGTGAAAATGCAAACACCTGTCGTAATTCTTTCATCTTGCTCTCATAAAATCAGCTTTTTGAGGGCTACTTTATAGAAAACAACTTTCAATTATCATATATCTTCAAGAGCTTAATAAATAATCGTCTGTAATCAAAGCTCTGTTTTATCATTTCATCTTTTTGCTCATGCTTTCTAGTCAATGTAAGATAGATTTTAAGTAAAATAAAATTATTTTGTATCTAGTTTTATTGTGATATTAGACGTTTTAATACATATTTCCTTAAGATTTTATTTGATGTTATGGCAAACATTCAAGTGAAACCTCACTTTTGATGGAAGTTCGTTTTTACTAAAACTAGAAATATCAGATTTTTCTTTGGTTCCCTTGTGAAACCATCCAAATGAGAGAACAATAATTTTGATACAACAAACATATGCATTTTTATAAGAGATCGAAGTTAATAAAACGTTTTTTTTTCGAGTTGAGCAGTTAAATAAAAAAGATTCATGCCAATGATACTGATCATAGAAGTAAAAGATAAATATATATTTGGCGTATGTTTAAACGCTGTTAAATAGGCAAAAACACTTTTTACAGTTCAACATGTGTCATAGAAGTTTAAAAGCTTCTTAGGAACAAAAATGTAAAATATTGAAGGTGACACTAAAGAACTGTTATTACACCTGCTGAATACGAATGTTTCCAATTACTGTACAAATTGATTATTTGAATAAATACTCACAAACGTTCTTTTTTTTACAACAGTGAAGGTTAATAGAATGAATTTAGGCTAATCAAAATATAGTCTTAGTAACAATTATAATGTATTGTATTTTAATTAAGTTTCAATCAAACTTATTCAATTAAACTAAATGAATACATATTACTTGTTTTTTGCTATCGAACTACCACAACAGCTAAATTTTAGTTTTAACTCATTGTTTTTTTTAAAAAAAACACTTTCGTTACTGAACAGTTATACACTCCCCATACTGCGTGGGTGGATAACAACACAACGTTATGAAAAGAAATCCTCCTTTTAGCACCTGTATATCGAAGGAGAGTGGTTTTTCCTTTCTGGTTTTTTTTTTAATATTACAGTCTTTTTTTCCTCTGTTAACATAAATAATTCTATACTTTAGAAAGTTCCCTTGATAAAACTCACAACGTTTACAGATCAGTTGAAAATCTGTTAGAAATTTTCAGTGACATCGTTATTAGAAATCTGAAAAAATGAAGTGTTTATAACTATGAATAGTTGTTTGTGTGCAACATATCGTGAAGTTATTTTATAACTAAATTATCTAAAAAATAGGCTAGTCGGAAGTACAAAACACTTACCGAAGGTACCGTACTATCGTTGATGTCCCACTCCACGTGAGAGACTGTGGAGTTTTTTGTCGTTGACATGCTTGTCGCTTGACCTACTGATCATGAGAAAAGATAACTTAATGTATGCGTGATTATGTGACTCTACTTACTCGTTTAGATTTTTCGCTTTTACACTTGCTGCTTTATTGCTTACCAGTTGATAGCACAAAAACTGTTAAGCTAGTTGTTTCTTTATTATTTGATATTTTTATTCGAGATACCCGTAGACATTATCGCCTCATATCGTGGATGCTCTGTAGTGGCCCAGATAAAATAAATAAATCACAATAGCAATGACACAAAAAAGTTACACTAATGAACGCTTTGTAATATCGTTTAGTAGAATTAAAAGCCGTTAGCTTTTAGGCTTACATTTTATCAAACAAGTAAACAACTTATAACATTTTATTTGATTTATCAAGCGATTGCATAGTTGATCGAAATATGTATTCCAAACATGTAGTTTAAAAATTATAACAGTAAGAAATATTGACGATGAGTTAGTAACTATATATATATATATATACTACTACTTTACTAGTTTGATAGTATAAGTAAAAAAACCTATGACAATATTACTAAGGTTTAAAAAC